CCGTGCCTGTGATTACAGCTCACGGCCTGGCTCCTGGCGTTGTGCAAGAGTGGAAGAGTTTGTTCTCCTCGCCTGGGTGTTTCATCACCCCCCAGCCCGTGCTGGTATATCTTGCTGTTCAGTGAGGTGACCCACCATCCCCTCCATGAGATGGCAAAGGCTTTCCTTCCCTCCTGCAGCCCTGGTAGGTGCCCCGCAAGCCCTGACCCTCAGCAGTGGAGAGCCTGGGCTTTGGAGCAGCTTGACAAAAGCAAATCCCGCAGCCCCCCGGCTGCAGAGGACTTGCTGCCAGAGCAGTCCTGTGCCCTCTGGTTCATCGTTACCGGGGGAAGGCAGGACCTCTCTTTACCATTTCACCGTGACATTTTTCTTTCCACCAGATCAGATTTAAATGAAAAATAATTTTTTTTTCCCCTTGCCTTTATATTTTAGAGGGGAAAACTTTTCCACTTTACTGTGGAAAGCAGGGGAGAAGCAGCGAAGTGATGACACACCTGATTACCCACCGGCACTTGGCTTGAGGTTTTATTTTTTTTTGCAGAGACTTCTCAGAGGCTCTGGCCGGGAAGGGACAGGGCCCGTTCGCAGGCTGTTAGACCTGGGGCCCTGCTCCTCCAGCAGGCAATCCCGCTGGCATTGCACCATCGGCTCTTACTTGGGCAAAGCCCTTCCTGAGTGCTCTGCTTCCCAGGAACACTGCTGAGCCCATACATCCCCCTCTCCCTAGGATCCCCTGCAGCCCGCGGCACTCTTCATTGATTCGATTAGGATATTATCTTACGAATTTCCTGTTAATGAGGAAGCTGTCTGCCAATGTGTTAGCTGTTGATACAAAGCTGCCTTTGCCGGGCCGCCTCTCCCCGGGTGGCCCTGCCGGCGTTATCGCCTGCCCCGTTAATGGGCAGCTCGGCCGTGGGGACGGTGTGCTCCCATGATGTGCATAGACCTTCAGCCGTGGCTCGCTCCAGAAGGGCTCGCTGCCCAGACATTTCTGGGTTAATAAGGAAAACAGCTAAGTGATAAGATAAATTGGTGGCGGAGAAATAGCAGGATGCACGTGGCTCTGTGCCGTGTCCTGGTGTGTGGTTGGGGCAGCCCTGCTGCGGGTCGGATACGCCGCTGGGGCGTCCCTGCCCCAGCCCTGGCTCAGGGGACCAGGGCCCAGCAGCGTGCGATCCCCTCCCGTCCAGCATTACTGCAAAGGAACTGGTGAAAAGCGTGAGGCAACAGCTTCCTGCATAATAGAAGCACACCAAAACGCTTTAAACTGCATCCGCTCCAATTTTTTTTTTTTTTTTAAGATTGTCACAAATACTTTAACATAATCTTGGAAGGGGGGAAACAATAGGGTTATTGTTTCTTTTTTCCCTTTGTTTTTCTTCCTGACCTGACTGAGTGCATTGCTGAGAGCCAGACTGGCTCTTGGCCTCTCTGTGCTCTCCCATGCTCGGCCGGGATAGCTGCGCTCTGAAGGGCTGTGTGTCTGCCTGCCTCTCGCCTGCCCCGTCTCCCCCTCTCCCCGGCATCTCGGATGGCCAGGCAAGTCCTCCCTTCTGGGAATGTGAAGTGAGCAGTCTCCTTTGGAGCTTGGATGGAAAACCTCGCTGATTTGTGGGAGTCTCCCTGTGCCGACCGCCTCCCTTCCACAATTCCTTGCCTGCTGGGGAACACGTTTCCCTGCCGAGGCTGGGGAGAAGGGTGCTCTCCCAGGAAACCTGCCCTGCCGTGTCGCTGCCGTGCCTTCGCTCCTGCAGACCGTCTTCTGATGCCTGTCTGTGCGTCCCTCCCCCGGGGCTTGCGGGGTTGCTGCACCTTTACCCTTTTTCCATCCCTTTTCCAGGGCTCTGCCTGGTCTCCTTGGTTTTCCTGGGGAAGAGCACTGTAACAACCTGCGCTGTAGCCCCCATCCTGCAAAATCAGCAGAAGCGAGATTGGCCAGAAAGGGTACGGGGAGCCTCAAAACCTAGAGACCTGCCGGCTGGCTTCCTCTGGGTCTCTGGAGCATCTCTCCGCTCTGGAGCTGACCTTTTCCCATTGCTGCTCCGTCCTTTTCCTGGCTGCAGCTTTATGGCGTGTAGTGCTACAGAAGAGCCGTCAGCCCGTGACCCACAGACCGGATTTCTGTAGATGGGTGCTCTTGTGTCACACAAACTCCCTGCCATGGTTACAGCCGGCGCTGGGGTTGTTTTCTCTGGAGCAGGTTTTTAGCTGTCCTTCAACCACAGGCTGGTGCCTAGTAAAGCTGATGACCTGGTGCTTGCTGCTGCCTGCTCCGGAGCTGCGTGGTGGCAGCCAGGCTGGGTGGGATCCATGGGACCGACCCCTCTGCCTTGCTCCTTCCCCACCTTCTCCTCCTTTTGTGCGTGCCAGAGAACTCCAGGCACCTTGCAACCTCTTCTCCTCCCTCCAGCAAGAGAAAAATAGCTTGTGAGTGCACGGGCGTAATGGTACCAACCCACGGCAGGCGGTGCGGGGTCTGCTCAGGCTGGGTGGTGCTGGTGGCTCTGGGCTGGGCTGGAGGGGAGCGGGGTGGCTGCAGGGACAGGGTCCCCACGCCGCCTCCTGCTCGCTGAGCAGCCACTGCGAGAGGCACTTTCAGTCAAGAAAAAGGACGTGGAGAACTTCTGGGCTGAAGTTCTGGCCGGGTTTGGTGGGATCACATGGTTGGGAGCAGATCTGGGCAGAGGCACAGCCCAGGCACGTGCGTACGGGAGAAAACACAGCTTGCCCCGTTTGTGCCTTGGAGGCTCTCAGTGCTCTCGGGAGAGAGAGATCCTCAGCTCGTGTTCAAAAATGAGAGGAGGGGAAAGCTTCCAGTGACTCAAGTATTGCGTTGCTTAACAGCAATCAGATGTGCGGCGCTTGTGATTTGTTTTGCTCACCCTTCGCCAGTCACAAGCTTTCCCAAGTCCTTCCCCGCAGGAGGAGCGGGGCCAGAGGCACCTCTCCGCTGTGGCACACACGGGTGTTTTGCAGGGTAACGGGGATGCGGTGTCATCCTTTATTTCTGTGGACTGAGGGAAGCAGGAGGCCGTTGCGTGCCCGGGGAGCCTGCCGTGGGGAGCCTGCCGTGGGGAGCCTGCCGGCGAGTCCTCCCTCGGCCGCGCTCGGGCTTGCTTCGTGGCTGCTGGTAACGTCACCCCGGTCCCCGGTTATTGCTGAGTCTGGAGTCATTTTCTTTGTTGTAAACCCTTTAAAATTTGTTTTGAGAAGAAGCTGTAAACAGGGCCCGTTTGTGCTTAGTGTCATCCTGGGTTTGAGATGTCTTGTTTTCATTTTGAAGAGAATATTTGAGAGCTGCTTTTGGTTTTCCTGTTGTCTTTGAGAGTATTGGGAGAGGTTTTTATTTCTCCTCAAAACGTAGGAAAAATACCTTCTTCCTTCTGTCCCCTCTCCACTAAACCTCAAGAATTTTATCCTGGTGCATTTGAGATCCAAGAAAAAAAAATGCAAGTATTGCATGTGCAGGGGTGCGGAGGGCTGTGTCGACAAACAGGGCTTGGCTTTAGCGTTACAGCACTTTAAACAAGCTCGTGCCTCACAGTGGAGGAGTCCACAGCCCTTAGCTCGGAGCAGAGACCTCCTGTAAAAAGCATGTGGAAAAATAGGCGCCAAGGAGCAGGAGCCATGAAAAGCAGGGAGCCAGGTGGGACGCGTCCCCAGGGGTGCTGGGACCCCGGCGTCTGGCCCTGCAGGGACTCCCTGCGGCGAAGGGGCTCCCGGTGTTAGGTGGCGGAGCAGCAGAGAGGAGGGAGCGTGGCCCGCGCGCCTGGGTGCTGGGTGCCGCCCGTCCTCAGCCAGGCTGGGCGAGGGCTGCCTGCAGGTGCCTCTCGCGGGAGGAATGGCTCGGGCTCTCTCGTTGCACAGGTTCCTCTTTGCGTGGAATACTTTAAATATTAATTGTGCCAGAGGAGAATGGCTGTTTAGGCTTTGTAGGTGCTCGGGACGCTCCCTGGGCAGGTTGTCTCCAGTGCTTCCGTAAGTGCTTAATTGTTTATGGAGGGTGCGATAGCTCCAACAGAAGAGGGCAAGACTCATTTCAAATACCCTGGGGACCAGGGGGCTCTTCAGGTGATGGGACGCAGAGCTCAGATCCATGCCCCAGAGAAAACAAGGGAGAGTTTGTATCTCCCTCCCATTCCTTCCAAGGGAGGGAGCATCTGAGTGGTTGGATGGATGGCTGGGCATGCTCTTTCTCCTCTTCTGCTTTCTGTAAAGTGCAAAGCCCAGCCCAAAGGGTGTTTTCCATCAAGACCAAATAAAGGAAATGCTGAGGATGTGGATCCTGCCAGGGCATCGGTATTAAGCATCCCAGCAGCTGCAGGGAAGTCGTGTGCATGTGCTGAAGCACCAGTGCAGGCACCCAGCGAGAGCAGGAGCTGGTTATCGCCTCCCTTTGCTGACTAAACCCACAAAGTGCAGTTGCATCAGTCAGGAAATTGTTTGTTTAATGCTGAAGATCCCATAAAACACTCATCCCTCAAAGCCTGTGCAGCACAAAGCGTTCCCCAAACTTGACGTATAACTTTATGGCCTTTTGCAGGCAAGCATGAGTCGGTGCTGTGGGTCCAAGTCAGCTGTAGTCCAGGAACTGTGTCAGTGCTGTGCTATGCTTGCGCTGAGAAGCTTAAAATATGCCTTTTTTTAAGGATCTTCTGAGATCTACTGACTGAGGTCCATCGGGATGAAACTTAATAGTTGCAGAAATGCGGGTTACATAAATCACCCGTGCTGAGCAGAATGATAGTGATGAGCAACATCGGTGTCGAGAAGTGTCTTGAAAACAGCGGAGATGACGCTAAGATCTTGTGCTTCTGGCCCTGCTTTGGATGTGCTTCCCTCGGTGCTGCGGGTCGCTGCGCCCTGGCCGGCGGTGCTGTGAGCCATGTCTAGGACGCTGCTGGTTTGGAGACCGGGCTTCACCTCCTCCTGGGGAGGGGCCTTGTGTCGTGCAAGTTAATCACTGCCTTTAATCACCTCTCTTGCATTTCCTTTTCTAGATGCAAATGCTGGACAAGTTTCCAATGGAAGGAGGGCAGAAGGACCCCAAGCAAAGGATCATCCCCTTTCTGCCAGGTAGGCAAGTACGCTCCAGCAAAAGCCACACTGGGTTTGGCATGGCAGGAGCTTTTTCCCAGTACATGTGTGAGCATACACGTGCTTTAGCTCTTATCTCCTGAACCATCTGAGCAATAGCAAGTTCTTGGCCTGCACCGTGTCCATTAAAACAGCTGTATTTGTTAGCAATGTGCCCAGCGAGCGTTAAACCCTTCCGTTATTCTCTCTCGCTCCAGAAAGCATTACGGGGGACTTCAGCACAGCAACCTTGCTTGCACAGCTTCTGCCAGGAGCAACCCCGCAGCAGCCTGCTTGTTTTGGGAAGGGGTCTGGCCAGCACAGCACAGGGCTGAGGGTGGTGTGAGGCTCCCCGGGAACTGCTCGTACGCTGTTTTTCCTGTCCCGGGCAACTCAAAGGGCCATCCAGAGAGAAGGAAATAACAATTGAACTCCACATGTTAAGTCAAGCTGATTGACAGCCTTGGCTTCCTCCCGTGACGTTCGGGACTGGTTGCCTAAAGAGGATTTCTGTGGCCTGACGTGTGCCCTGCCAGCCCAACGTGCAGCTGAGCGTTTGTGTGCCCAAGGAACAGATGCAATGGTCCATCGCAGACTTTGTGGTGCGGGGAACTGCTTGGGGCTGCTACGGGAAAAAAAAGAATGCTAATGTGCCTTGCAAAAACACCCGCCCTGAGGGGGCCCTGGGAGACTTTCATGCACCCATAGCTAATGGCTTTGACCGCAGAGTGGTCTTTACCCCCACCCCAAAGTGGCTAATGGGCATATTTAGAAATGTCACGGTACCATAATCGCTTCCAGCGACTGCCAGGTCCATTTAGTGCAGCCCTTTGCGCTGTGCTCTGCCTCCTGGCTTTTCTAGGAACATAAAGGCGCTTGGTGGGCTTTGCTTTTCGCTGACTGGCGTGAAGAAAATTATTTATGCTCCTTTTTGAGCAAGAGAATCTTGTCTGTGTTTCCCATAGAGGGATTTCTGATTCTGGCTTGTCCTTGCATTGTAACATCAGCAAAAGCAAAGCACACCTGACATTAATACAGCAGAAAAGCCCTTGCTGTACAGTACTTCTGCCAGCAAGGAGTAGGGAGGAAAAATGGAAGCCAAATTGGCAAAGGGCATAACTTGGAAAAATTGGACATACGGCTTGGCTGTGCTGCACTTGCAGAAAATTCCCACCAAAATTCTGCTATTTTTGGAAGGCAACAGTTGGGTTCGGGAAGTCTGGTCAGAGCACTGCTTCTCCTAGCACACTTATCAATATTCCTTTCTTCTTCTTGGTGTTGAAATAGTTTCCCTTCGCTAAGGGGCATGTCACTGGGATTTCCGTTGGAGGAAAAAGGGCGTTGAAGTTGCTGGAAAATAAAGCCTGGCTCTTGTGTAAGAAAGTAGTTTTGGGGAGTTAGGATGACCGTCCTCTAGAGGAGCTTGTGCATTTGTGCATGTCCCCTGCGGAGACATTTGCCCTTTTGCTTGGGTCCCCTTTTTGCAGCAGGATTAAATAACACCGTTTTCAGAGGTAGTCACACATTGACTTGGAAAACCGCTGGTCCATGCTTGTCCCAGAAATTTTTCTTGACATTTCATTTCTGCAGTGGCTTGCGATAGCTAAGAAGAGAGAGGCTATTGATGCCGAGCAGCTGGCACCCGCAGCTTGACCACTTGTTCTTTCAGGTGCCAGCTCAGGGCACGGGGTGGTGTGGTGAGAAGCACTGGGGATGGCGTCCTACCTCCAAGCAGCAGGTAGCCACTAGAAAGATAGATAATCTTGCATCTGCCCGTCCTCATGGGGCAGCTTCAGAAGTCCTCTTGCTTCAGGGACGTTGTGTTATTAAGAAGCGGGAATCATGTTGCCTTTGCCCTCCTGCCTTTGCTGCACATCACGGAGCGGTCAGGAGCCGGTGGCTTTCTCTGGCGCAGGACGATGAGCCGTACCCCGCAGTGAGCTGGCTTGCAAGCTGAAAGAGGGCTTCACCTGGGGGTAAGGGAAGGCTTTTTTAATAGTTGCTGGCTGTGCTAGAGGATGGTTCCTTTCTGGAGCAGTTCTTGGCCTTCCCAGTTTGGATGGCGATGGGTTTTGTTACTTACAGCTCAACCCAAACTTCGTCTCTCTGCCTAGGGGTGCCATCCAGGTGAGCTTGGTGCAAACAGCCTGGGTCTCCTTCTCTGCAAAATGTGGCTCTGGTATGCTTAGATGTGCTAGGATTTGATTATGTTCAGCTTCTGTGAGTACTGTAGCTTGCTCCCAATCCCATTTTGAGCAACATTTTTAGCATCTGAATTTCATTACCAGTGGAGATTTGGCTCCAGTGGTTTACTGAAAGTACACTGCTTTCTGGGAAGTCCGTTGTAGAGTAACATTAGACATTGCGTCCACTGCAGTTCTCAAAAATGTCTCCTGTGACCCTGTGCCTCCTGCAGCTCTGGCTTTCTTAGCAAACCCCAAACTCAAGGTCGCCACCACGACCTGAGAAGGTGCCATCTGGGTTTGTCTGTCAGGCTGGTTTCCTGGAATGGGAAGAGAGTTCCGTCATTACTCCGTAGTTACAACATCCAGCCCACAGAAACTCTGCTTTGTGTTGCTTCGTTTTGTTAATGTTTGCTTCAAGGATTTGACTTCTTGGAAATTTCTAGAGGCTTTGGACCTTTTGAAGTAGTTCTCTGATGGTATCAGAACATGCTCTCGTAACTGCAAGTCCTTCAGCCCACTCAGCTCTTCTGAAGTGGAGTCATAAAGCTGGGTCCTCCGAAGCGGAGCAGAGCAGAGCAATTGCACTTAAGGTTTGGGGCCACGGGTTGCCCCTTCCCTGGTGTTGGCACCACGGTCATCCCGTAGCACAGCTTGGTGGGGTCCGGTTTGGCCTGGCAGGGCATTGCAGTGCTCCTGCACCACGCCTGAAAAGCCTCTGCCACCATATAGGGGAATTTGAAGTGGACTCTTGGCTACTTTTGCTGGCTTTGAGCCACCGGCACAGCCTGCCCAGCTTCATGTGGTGCTGAGAGTGGCTCCTCGAAACAGCGCTGGCGGCACCCAGCCCATGCGTGGCATCGACTGCAGTCCCTGGAGCAGAGTCAGGAGCAGCTGGTGAGAGAGAAGAGACCTGTCACTGCCCGGCCCGGGGGCCATCGTGCCAGGCAGCTCCATCCTCGCCTGCGAGAGTCCACACTAAGGGTTACGCGCTTGTTGGCTGGGAGATGATGATATGGAGACCCCAGGAAAGAATGAACTAAGAAAACAAATGAGCTCAGTTGGGCCTGCTGTGTATGGGCTGTGCCAGATCTTTCAGGAAACAGCTTTTATGAGGAGAGTGGAGCCTTCCAAACTTCGTACAGCCCGAGTGGCCTGGAGCAGATCCTGGCCAGTCTGCTTTGCTGGAAACGTGAGCCGCGGCAAGGAGGGGTTGCCTGATGCTGAGCTAACTTTGGCTGTAAAATTGCTTTTTAGGAAGCTTTAGCTGCAGACAATAGTGAACTCCCAAGAAGGGAGGAGGAGAAAGGGGGTTCGGTGAGGTTGTTTTCAAAAGCAGAATGATGCCTCCTTTCTACTCCCTTCCCAGCCTGCTAACCTGCTCAGCATGGGCATCAGTGCTGCCCACGTACTTCGGGGCTCTTCTCCCAGAACAGCTGTGGGGATGCTAATAGCTCCCCACAAAGGCCCCGTGAAGGAGGCCAAGGACAACTCATCCCTTTTCCAGCTGCAGTACCTGACTTCCCCCAGTCCCATTGCATCTTCATCAGAGCTGGAGATGGGGAAAGGGTCCTAATTACTATTTTTCTGCTCTAGCAAGATGGGCATCTCTGCTGTAGCACTGTTGCATGGACGGTCCCAAGCTAGCTTGCAGCCCGCAATCAGTACGGTTGCCTTTTCAGCTAACGCTGCTGGCGTGCGGACAGTGTTACCCCCAGCAAAGTGCTGCACTGAAGCAGTTGCTCTGCTTCTGACCTTTGAGCTGTCTTTGAACAAACTGCCTTGCGTTCTTCTCCATTGCATGGCACTGTAGGCCATAGAAGCAATGGCCTTGGGAACATTTTGCTCCTGCTCCAGCAGGATCGCAAACCGTGGGAGTGGAAGGGGCTGTCTTGATAGGAGCACTGTTTAATTTGGCTTCGTTTCACAACGTATGGGACTCCATGCTTATGCTATACCCAGGACAGCCCCGGAGGCACTTTGCTGGTCCCCCTTCTCTTCACCAGGATATGCGCACAGTGCAGGACTTTGCCAAGCAGATGCTAAGAGCAGGGCTCCTGGAAACGCCGTCTCCCATGCCTGCTTCCCTGTCCTAGGAACAGCCCACGTGGCTGGCTGCTCCCTGGGCTGGGATTAATTATGTGTACATTTGGGGCTGCCTTTTTTTGAAGTGAGTTTGGAACCCGTGCCAGGGAAAATCTGGATGTGATTTGAAAGGTGCAGAGAAGTGAATTCTTTCTGAGGCTGTGGGGTGGGGGGAGTGGGGGGAGCCCTTCAGGGTAAAGCAAGAGGCACAGACGGTTTTCCATTCTTGAAATATCTGGCTTGGTTTGTGGCCGTGATCGGCAGGGCAATTCTTTCGGGTTCTCTGCCCCTCCAACTTGCTGGAGACCCAGTAACAGCCTTTGGCTCAAGAGGAGCCTCAGCCTTTTGCTGGTTGAAATGCCTCTGCCTTGGTTTTTTCAGCTCATTACTCCCCAGTATAACTTCAGTTCTGCCTGGAGAATTCCCACAGGAGGGAATAATTTGCAGAGCCCTACCTGTTTGTTTGGCGAGATTAACCCCTCTTGTGGCCTGCCTGCTCTATCTCATATTGCTGGAATTCCTTATCAGCCCTTTCCCCAAGCTCTCCTCTGACACTTTGCGGTCCCTGATGAATGGCTGAGGCAGCGGGGCCGTGTTGCATCCATTGCTTTGCAGCCCCCGCTGGAGCTGCTGCAGCACCCTTTGCTCTCAGTCGATCGGACAAAGCAAAGCAGCCTTAATTAGCCACAAAGGGGGTTTCTTCCAGTCCTGGGAGCGAGAAGCTTTCTGGCA